GACGTCAAGAAGGGTCAAAACCCAATAATCAAGAGAACCAAGAACCATATTAAAAATGGCTTTCTAGTTCGTACTTAAAATGGACAACTTCCATTCTTAAGACGGACTAAAAATCCAGAGTCAAGATGGCAAATGATCCGAACCAAGAGGCATGCCAAGAGTGACAAAGTCACAGCCACAAGAAGGACAAGGTCCCAACAAGAGTGCCAAGTGATCAAACAGTCCGTACAAGGGGGCGAGTTACATAAGCGTCTTTAATGTATTAAAGAATACCAATACGACAATGCAAAGTGACAAGAGGTAACCAAGGTACCAAGATAACTTTCAGATATACCAGTAGGTAAAAAATAGTACAAGTATAAGTTTATACTCAAACCTCAGTTCTTTAGCACAAAAACAGTCCAACACAACTTCACGAGTTCAAATCGTAGACCAACCAGCGTATCAAATTCTTCAACTCGTACACGAGGATATAGAACTTTTAAAGAATGAAGTCAATCGCTTATTTAATTTCTAGTAGCTCAATAATGATGGCATAACACAGGGTTATCATCACAAGTAAGCCTAACTTGTATAAATACGACTATACTCCCGAAACAGAAATTCTGCCCAATAAAAGCACTTCATGTCGCAACTTAGATTTGAAACGGAAAACGGCCAAAATGGAATTTATATCCTTCATAAAAGATGTAGGTACATATCTGAAGCTTGCAAATAATCAAGAATCACCGCAAAATACGCTTTGTACAAAAAGATATAAACAAAACACTAACAGTTGAACATACAGGATTTCAAATTCCAGAATCTGGACAGAACATGTCATAGGTTTCGTCCTTTATTTCGTAGTCCTAATAGCTACATTAGAGTTTAACATAAACATAAGAGTTGTAGGTATATGAATCAGCTTTCCAAAACATAATTTATTCACCTCAAAAGAAGTTATATAGAATGAGATATTCTAAAATTACTAAACACTACCCAGCTTCAAAAAAACAAGTTTTGATTACTCACCAAAAGGTAGGATGTCTCAACTTCCAGCTAGAAGGACCAAGGTTTTCTCTTGTGATTTTGATGAAAAGCTGGTTAGACAATGTTCTTATGTTCTTGGACTTCATTTCCAAACGAAAATCACAAGAGGAGGTGTGGTAATATAGTCTAATGAGTGATGCTTAGTCACGTATACAACTGTCCCTAAAGGGTACTGCCCCATTTTATTGTGTGCTGCCCTAAATGTATACATATACACCTATATGTATATAATTGTTACGAACACTTTCAATTCATATGTAATTTTAATTAGAAAAAATTACGCAAATACCCCCATACAATATCTTAAATTACGAGAACAATCTATTTTAAACAAGGTTGCATATATCACAAAATTTCAAGTTCCCTAAATAAGAGTAAAACATATTGTAGTAATTAAGAAATGATGCATCGACATGCAAGAGTTGATCTAGTATTTTAGGGGTGTTACAACTCTCTCCCCCTTAAAGAAATTTCGTCTCGAAATTTACCTTACGCTAGTCCCGGAACAAGTGCTGATATGGGGTCCTCATGTCTTCTTATCTTTCCCAGGTAGCTTCTTTTCCAGAATGGTTCCTCCAAAGTACCTTTACTAAGGGGATTCTCTTGTTTCTAAGTTGCTTTACTTCTGGAGCTTGAATTAGAATAGGTTCTTCATTATACGTCAAGTCAGGATTAACCTCAATAGATTCAACTGGAAGAACATGAGATGGATCAGAACGATATCTTCTAAGCATAGAAACATGGAAGACATTGTGGATCTTGTCTAACTCAGGTGACAACGCCAATTTATATGCAACTGGTCCAACCCTTTGAAGTATCTCATAAGGTCCAATAAATTGGGGACTAAGTTTTCCTTTCTGGCCAAATCTTATAATCTTTTTCCATGGAAACACCCTTAAGAATACTTTATCCCCAACTTGATATTCAGTATCACGCCTTTTAAGATCAGCATACGACTTTTGTCTATCCGAAGAAATCTTTAGACGATCTTTGATAATTTTTACCTTGTCCTCTGTTTGTTGCACAATTTCAGGACCAATAAGATTTTTTTCACCAATTTCACTCCAACAAAGAGGGGTCCGACATTTTCTTTCGTATAAGGCTTCATAGGGAGGCATTCCAATACTCGATTGGTAACTGTTATTGTAAGAAAATTCTATCAAGGCCAAGTGTTTGTCCCAACTACCTTCAAACTCCATAATGCAAGCTCGAATCATATCCTCCAAAATTTGTATCACTCTTTCCGACTGGCCGTCAGTTTGAGGATGGAACGAAATGCTAAACTTCAACTTAGTACCCAAAGCTTCCTGCAAGCTACCCCAAAATCTAGATGTAAACCTTGGGTCCTGATCTGATACAATAGACACAGGGATCCCATGTAGTCTTACAATCTCCTTAATGTACAACTCAACTAAACGCTCAAGTGAGTAATCCATCCTGATTGTTAAGAAGTGAGCACTCTTGGTTAGCCTATCCACAATCACCCATATTGCATCATGATTCCTCTGAGTGAGAGGAAGTCCAGAAACAAAGTCCATAGTTATTCTCTCCCATTTCCATTCTGGCATCGACAAGGGTTGTAGTAAACCCACTGGGATTTGATGTTCAGCCTTTACTTGTTGACAAACCAAACATTTAGAGATGAACTCTGCAATGTCTCTCTTCATACCATTCCACCAATAATTTTCTTTGATGGTCCGGTACATCTTTGTACTTCCAGGATGCATTGCATATGGTGAATCATGTACTTCATTCAATATTTCTCTCCTCAATTTGTCATCATTAGGGACGCATAACCTGTTTTGATAAAATAAGCCACCATCCTCTGTAAATGTAAAATCAAGTTTTTCCCCACTTTTAACTTCTCTGGACAATTTTACAAGCTTGTCATCTAACATTTGTGTTTCTTTCACCTGCTCAAGTAATATTGGCTTTACTTGTAAATTAGCAATAGCTGAACCATTTGAATCAAGTGTAAAACAAACATTCATCGCTCTTAACTCAAGGAGCAAGGGTAAAGGACTCAAAGAAATGCTTGCGAAGGATTTCCGACTTAAGGCATCTGTAACCACATTGGCTTTACCTGGATGATAATCAATCGTGCAGTCATAATCCTTGATGAGTTCAAGCCATCTACGTTGTCGAAGGTTTAGCTCCTTTTGGGTACCCAAGTACTTTAAGCTCTTGTGATCAGTGAAGATATGACATTTCTCTCCATATAAATAATGCCGCCATATTTTTAAAGCAAACACTATAGCAACAAGTTCAAGATCATGAGTAGGATAATTCAATTCATGCAGTTTTAATTTCCGAGAGGCATAAGAAATTATCTTCCCTTCTTGCATCAAAACACATCCGAGACCATTGTGAGAAACATCACTGTATACAACGTACTCTTTCCCTTCAATTGGTAGAGTAAGTATAGGCGCTTGAGTCAACAAGGATTTGAGAGTTTCAAAGCTCTCTTGACATTTGTCATCCCAGATAAACTTTACTTCCTTCTGCAAGAGCTTAGTCAAAGGAGAGGCGATAATGGAAAAGCCTTTCACAAATCTTCTGTAGTATCCTGCTAAGCCCAAGAAACTTCTTACCTCAGTCGGACTTTTGGGAGGTTTCCATTCAACAACTGCTTGTATTTTACTAGGATCCACTTTCACACCTTCAGTTGATACAACATGTCCTAGAAAAGCTACTTCATCAAGCCAAAATTCACACTTGGAAAGTTTAGCATAAAGTTCTTTCTCCTTCAAAATTTTCAAAATAATCCGGAGGTGTTTATCATGGTCTTCACTACTTCTGGAAAATATTAAAATATCATCTATAAAAACAACCACAAACTGATCAAGATAAGGCTTGAATACTCGATTGATTAGATCCATGAATACCGCAGGAGCATTTGTCAATCCGAATGGCATCACCAAAAATTCATAATGACCATATCGAGTGCGAAAAGCAGTTTTAGGAATATCTTTCTCTCTAATACGCAGTTGGTGATATCCAGACCTTAAATCAATTTTTGAGAATACTTTAGCACCTTTAAGTTGGTCAAACAAATCATCAATTCTTGGTAGTGGATATCTATTCTTGATTGATATTCTGTTCAATTGTCTATAGTCAATACAAAGCCTAAGAGTGCCATCTTTCTTCTTTACGAATAAAACAGAGGCTCCCCAAGGAGAAACACTAGGACGAATAAAACCTTTCTCAAGAAGTTCTTGCAGTTGAGATTTCAATTCTCTTAATTCTGCTAGAGCCATTCTATAATGAGTGATAATAATAGGGGTATATCCAGGAATAAGTTTGATTGGAAATTCAACCTCTATTTTCGGGGGCAATCCCGGAAGGTTTTCTGGAAATTCTTCTGGAAAATCACATACAATAGGTATGTCTTTGATACAAGAACTCTTCCACTGTGTATCAACTATGTGAGCAAGGTATGCCTCACAACCTTGACGTATCAACTTTCTTGCCAAGGCCGCAGAAATAATACGAGATGTCACTGATCTTTCACCTTGTACAATGATGTGTGAAAAGGTAGGATCTTTAAAAGTCACATGCTTAGACCTACAATCTACAACTATATGATATTTATAAAGCCAATCCATCCCGATAATAACATCAAAATCCTTGAAGGGCATTTCAATCAAATCAGCAGGGAAGACTAGGTTTTGAATCACGAAGGGACAATCTTGGTAAACTCGATTACACATAACTTGATAACCCAAAGGACTTTCAACCAACACATCATAATTAAGACTCACAGATTTCACATTTTCAGGAAGAACAAGCGATGAACAAATATAGGAATGTGTAGAACCAGGATCAATTAATGTAAACACACATAAGCCAAATAAGTGAAATTTACGAACAACCACGTCTTGTCCATCTTGATCATCCCTCTGCCTCATAGCATAAGCACGTGCAGTAGCCCTTTGCCCACTGGCTTGATTAGCTCCACTTGTACCTGTTGCCTAGGTGTTTTTAGGTCTTGCATCAATATTAATTTGAGGAGGATTGGAAGAAGGCTTATGAACTGAGCCTTCAGTTCTCAACGATGGAGCATTATTAGAATTAGGGCAATCGTTCACTTTATGATCAAAGCTCCCACAATTGAAACATGCACCAGAAGCTCTCCTGCAAGTACCATAATGATTCTTTGCACATTGTGGACAAGTGGGAACACAAGGCTTGCCTTGGCCATAATTTGGAGTGCTAGCTGTAGAAAATTCGGATCTATTTTGCCTTTGTTGAGGTGGCCTGTTATCACTGCCAACCTTAGAATTATCAAACCTTCCCCTTTTGGATGGACCCCTAAAATCTGGTCTAGGCTTTCGGAATCTGTTTTCATTTCTACTAGTTTCTTCTTTATCAAGTCGTTCCCAAGTAAAAGCAACAGACACTAACTTAGAAAATTTCTCATGTTGCAGGATTGCCACATTCTTCCTAATGGAATCATTTAAACCGTCTTCAACTTTCCTGCACTTGTCTTTTTCCTCTTTAATAATACCACTAGCATAGCGAGAGAGCCTTAGAAACTTTTGTTCGTATTCAACAATAGACATGCCTCGTTGCCTTAGATTCAAAACCTCTTTTTTCTTTGCATCACAATAAGCAGGTGGAACATACTTCATACGAAATTCCTTAAGAAAATCATCCCAAGTAAGAATAGGAGGTTTTACCTTGGCATTCAGAACACTTACCCACCAATCGTAAGCATCCTTTTGTAATAATGAAATAGCATACTTAAATTTTGCAACATCTGAGCACTCTAACTGCTCAAATACCCTCTCCATGCGATCAAGCCATTGTTCAGCATCAGTGGGATCAACAGTGCCTTCAAACTCCACTCCACCCATTTTCCTCATTTTCTCAAAGTTAATCTTGTAGGGATCATGCATCATTCAGCCATCTGGTGGAAGAATTCAGCCATTTGATGAAAATGAGGATTCATGGTTTGAGTACCATGACTCATGTGAGGATGTGGACCAGCTCTTACACCCTGATGGTTTCCCACTTCAGAACCACTAGTGTGGGGAACATATTGATTCGAGATATGTTCTCCAACCCCTTCCAGTGCATGAGGTTGGGAAACAGAGGCACCTGAACCTTCACGAGCAGCTTCCATAAGTCGGTCAAAAGAATTGCCCATAACTTAATTCCTTCAAAAGCAAAGATCACATTGCATTAGGGACATGTACATGATGCATGTGCACTCTACATGCGATAAAATATTATAAACCATGTAAGTGAACAAATAATCCAAATAGAACTTTTTCAAAACTGAACAAGTATACAAGTAATTCACAACAACAGTCCTAGAACCACAAACCTAGGCTCTGATACCAACACTTGTAGCGACCCTTTCAAAACGGTACCCCTACTTAAACAAGAAATCTAATTAAAATACTCGCGACATTCAAAACCAATTAAGGAGGCATACTGATTTTAATCTAGTAGAGGGATTAGATTCATAACAAACTCAAAAAAAATAAAAAAAATAAAAAATAATCTAGGCAATTAACCGACCAGATCTTCATGCATATATTAACCTCACACTCGAGGTGAAATAACAAGAATATTACACTTCCGAGTACCGAAATCAGCCAACTCATGCTTCACACAACTTTCAAGACATATAGCAAATTAGTATATTACAAAACTTGGGTTTACACACCCCAAAAAGATAAAAAAAATGTATAACCATACTTATATTACAACCCATGGTGACATGACCAAATCAACCCCCAAAATCTCATGTAAATATACAACACAAAGATGATGTACAAGGCCAAAGGTTTATACAAAATATAGATGCCTATATGCAAATGTGATCTTCCTTAAGGCTTTCAAAATCTCCATCATCAATGGCCAGCTTCAAGCATCATCACGAACAGCCCCTACGATAGAAACAACTATCGCTAAGCATATAGCTTAGTGGTGTGCAAACTATAGGTTTGGAGCCCTAAAATTCACCAAGTTATCATTCTTAAGTCAAGGGCAGCACGATCGAAACAAAATCAGTAAATCAAGTAACCAATATACAAGGAGTATCAAGTTCAATATTTAAAGGTCCAAATGTTAAGAAAGCTCATAACACAACTTTTCAAGAGATTCAATAACAAGGCTCGCCCAATATATACATCATGTCGTCACACCAGGCACGAGCAGGTGTCAAGAAGGGTCAAAACCCAATAATCAAAAGAACCAAGAACCATATTAAAAATGGCTTTCTAGTTCGTACTTAAAATGGACACCTTCCATTCTTAAGACGGACTAAAAATCCAGAGTCAAGATGGCAAATGATCTGAACCAAGAAGCCTGCCAAGAGTGACAAAGTCACAGCCACAAGAAGGACAAGGTCCCAACAAGAGTGCCAAGTGATCAAACAGTCCGTACAAGGGGGCGAGTTACATAAGCGTCTTTAATGTATTAAAGAATACCAATACGACAATGCAAAGTGACAAGAGGTAACCAAGGTATCAAGATAACTTTCAGCTATACCAGTAGGTAAAAAAGAGTACAGGTATTACTTTATACATAAACCTCAGTTCTTTAGCACAAAAACAGTCCAACACAACTTCACGAGTTCAAATTGTAGACCAACCAGCGTATCAAAGTCTTCAACTCGTACACGAGGATATACAACCTTTAAAAAATGAATTCAATCGCTTATTTACTTTCTAGTAGCTCAATATTGATGGCGTACCACAGGGTTATCATCATAAGTAAGCCTAACTTGTACAAATACGACTATACTCCCGAAACAGAAATTCTGCCTAATAAAAACACTTCATGTCGCAACTTAGATTTGAAACAGAAAACGGCCAAAATGGAATTTATATCCTTCATAAAAGATGTAGGCACATCTCTGAAGCTTGAAAATAATCAATAAACACCGCAAAATATGCTTTGTACAAAAAGATATAAACAAAACACTAACAGTTGAACATACATGATTTCAAATTCCAGAATCTGGACAGAACATGTCATGGGTTTCGTCCCTTATTTCGTAGTCCTAATAGCTAAATTAGAGCTTACCATTGACATAAGAGTTGTAGGTATAGGAATCAGCTTTCCAAAACATATTTATTCACCTCAAAAGAAGTTATACAGAACGAGATATTCTAAAATTACTAAACACTACCCAGCTTCAAAAAAACAAGTTTTGATTACTCACCAAAGGTAGGATGTCTTGACTTCCAGCTAGAAGGACCAAGGTTTTCTCTTGTGATTTTGATGAAAACTGGTTAGAAAATGGTCTTATGTTCTTTGACTTCAGTTCCAAACAAAAATCACAAGAGGAGGTGTGATAATATAGTCTAATGAGTGATGCTTAGTCACGTATACAACTGTCGCTAAAGGGTGCTGCCCCATTTTATTGTGTGCTACCCTAAATGTATACATATACACCTATATGTATATAATTGTTACGAACACTTTCAATTCATATGTAATTTTAATTAGAAAAATTACGTAAATACCCTCATACAATACCTTAAATTACGAGAACAATCTATTTTAAACAAGGTTGCATATATCACAAAATTTCAAGTTCCCAAAATAAGAGTAAAACATATTGTAGTAATTAAGAAATGATGCATCGACATGCAAGAGTTGATCTAGTATTTTAGGGGTGTTACACTATGAGTGATTCCCACCGCTCGACTTTGCTGTGAGTATTCATAATTTCCTATTCTGGCCTTTTTGTTTTCCTTAATCATTTCCCTAAGCTTATCTCCCTCAACCTGCTGAGTATTAGTCATTATTCTTGAGATATCCATATCCCCTAGAAGCATATCATTCCTGCACTCGATCTTCACCAGATCAGATACCCCAAACAAGAACTTACTCATTTGTGCCCTTGGATCAACAACTATGTGGGGAGCATACCTGGAGATCTGGGTGAACTTCAGCTCATATTCTTAGACCAACATTGAATCCTACTTCAAGTTCAAAAACTCTTGTGCCTTAGCTTCTCTCAACTCCCTTGGGAAGAACCTGTCTAGGAAACCTCCTGTAAAACAATCCCAAGTTACAGGAGCTGCATCCGCACTACTGTTATCTTTCCACTGCATAAACCAAATATGAGCAACATCCTTGAGTTGATAGGATGCTAACTCAATACTCTCAGTATCAGTCACTTGCATTACTCGAAGAATGTTCTTAACCTCATCAATGAAGTTCTGTGATCCTCACCAACCTTTGACCCTAGAAATTCCGGCAAATTCATACGAACAAAGTCTCAAACCCTAGATGTAGCTGATCCACCATTAGTGTTTGAAGAAATTGTAGCATGGTGATTGTTCTGATTGGCCACACTCTGATCCAAGAGTTGGATCACATTTTGAAATTCTGCATAACCTCATGGTTCAGGACGGGAGTCTTGAACCTAATTCTCTGATACCAAGTTTGTCACGTCTCGAGGCTACCCCCTAGACGTAACACGGGACCTAGGATCACGAGTGACCCCAAGCTAACCCTAAGTCTGACATATATCAAGCATACTGAAAATAACTGAGTAAAACATATACTATGCGGAAGCTAAAATAGTGAATATCTGAAATGGGGAAAACCCAACTAGTCTGAATATATAAAACTTACTAAGAGTTTAATGATAAATGACAACCACTTAACAACTCAAGCTGGATCTATTACTATATCTGAAAAACCTCTACTGAATTGAGTTGCTGGGACATACCCCCAGTTAACTTTAACAAAACTTAAAACTGGAAATAAAGACTAAAATGGAAAGCATGTCTTTGTCCTCGAAGTATGAGGACTCACTACTGAAGCTAATGAATTCGGATCGAGAATCGATCTAAGCGTGATCTAGATGCTGAGTGCCTGAACCTATATAACGAAACGATGTAGTGCAAAGTATGCGTTAGTACTTGGAATGTACTGAGCATGCAGGATACAGACACTAAGATGAATAAAAAATATATAAGCTGAATAATACATAACTGAGCAATAATGTAACTTGAGCAAATATATAAATAATGAAATATAACTGAAAAACTAAATTGAATATAATGACCAAGTACTAATCATGAAGATAACATGCTGAACTGATTACTAAAGTAAATGCTGAAAAACATGGTCAATGCACTAAAAGTCTGACTGTGGGAGCTACTATTAACTGATATAAACCACGTGAGCTAAATGAAGAGTCCGATGTATAAGTCCCATTGAGAGGGCCCAATATACCTTGCAGGGGTATAAAGGCATGACTGTTTCGTGATCACTAATATTGATGCCCAACAGAAAGGACTTATAATCCTACGCATGCATGTAGATCTTGGTCTATGAGGGTACGCTGAACCCTAGTCCAACTCGGTGCTAATTTTACTCCCAACTAAATACATACGGAGCTAAAATGCACTAAATACTGAATAGCTCAAAATACTGACATGCTAACTGAGAATACAACATTTATATACTGTGAAACATTTGAAATCTGGAGAATGATTTTTCTGTTTAACTAACCTAGTATATATAGTCCATGAACTAAGATAATTTACATAAACTAGGGTTCTGAGCTTTATACAATGAATTAAGCAACGTTTCACCGAAAAAATATTATTTAGATTATGGATACTATAGCAGCTGTAATCGCCATAATTCCCAAGATTTTACAAACCCTATGTCTAAACAAGTTATGCGGAATCAAGGAACTGATTGAATTCTAGGGACCTAGTGGATGAATGGAACTCACTAGTGAAATCCCACATACCTGGTGACGAAATCTACGGAGAAATCCTTTGGATTTCGGCGTTGAACTTTGAAGAACACTACTGCTTGTTCTTGAAAATTGGCACCTTTTTCTCTTCTTTTTGTATAATTTGGATGATTTTTG